AGTTGGTTAACTGTCTGCCTTCAGCTCGGGTCATGATCCCGGGGTCCTGAGATAAAGCCACACATCCCTGCTGAGCCGGGAGTCTGCTTCTCCCTCTCCCTCTACCCCTCCCCCTGTTCATCCTCCCTCTCTCTCCCTCTCTCGAATAATTAAGTAAAATACAAAAAATATACACAAAGATCTAAAATCAATAAGAAAGAAGATAACCCAATAGGAAAAATAAGCAAGACACTGAACACACACCTCAGAAAATGGAATCTTCAATGGCCACTCAATATTTAAAGATATGCACAACCTTGTTAGTCATCAGGGGAAAGTAGACTATGATCACAATGAGATAATACTATAACACCCATCAGAATGGCTACAATGATGAGAACTGACAATCTGAGGATAAAGCTTAGAGCAAAAGAAGTCCTCGTACAAATGTAGTTGGTGGGAATGTAATTGGTACAACTGTTTTGACAAACACAATATTAGCTGAAGCCAGACCTGCACATGATCTGTGATGCAGCTATTCTACTTTCTAGGTAACAGAAATGTCCTCTTCTAGAACAAAAGGTTGAGTGTGACAGTGTGTGTGTGAGACAGACAGGAAGAGATGAGGCAAGGTGAGGCGAGGATGTTCATAGTAGTATTGTTTTCAATAGCCACAAACTAGAAACAGCCCAAATGTCCATCCATAGAATGAATATGTAATTTGAGATGCTTTAAGCTGGCTCATAAATTTGTGTCATAGTTGTAGAATATGAGGGCAGATATATAGATCAAAAAATAGTTAAATAATTTGATAATGCCCAATTAAAAGCCCTCCGGTAGTGAGACAAAAATGGGGAAAAAAATCTCACCAAATAGCTGTATCAGTTGTGAAGCGATTAACTGACCATAGCTCCTATACAACTTCAGAATCATGTTACGGGAGATGTTTCTTGAAGGGTCCCTAGGTGGTCCCTGAATAACTGAGCACTTTGGGTCAAATAGTCTCAATCTCAGGTACATGGCCAGAAAGTCATGAGCAAGTTGTAATTTTTCAAATGGAAGCTTCTGCAAAGACAGTAGAATGCCTCCAAGGGAAACAGGGGCTTTGGATTCTCTTCTCATGGGTCAGGAAAAACTAAATTCTGATTTGTAAATTATTTTAAAAAATAGGTGAGAGTTTCAGGTGAGGAAATCACCATTCACAGAAGAAGTAACAGAAGCCTAACAAGCACAACATAATTGGCCTGTAGAGATTGTCTCTCTGAGGGAAAAGAAAGTTGCTTCTTCCAAATCCCAGATCTTGCCCATCTCTGCTCTTCCTGGGGCAATGATGACCTCCTGTCCCGGAGGTAAGGCAATCATGCTCCACCGGGTTCTTAGGACCAGCAGTCAGGAAGTCAGGATTCCTTTCACACACACATCTTCTTCCTCGGCTCCTGTGGTGATTGGATTGAATCTGAGATAAATGTCCCACTTTGGCAATTGGTTTAAAATATATATATATAAATTTTATTAAGTTTTTTGGAAAATGTATTAGGGTTTTAATTTAAATTCCAGTATAGTTAACATGTATCTATAGATATAGATAAAATAAAGAATACATATTTTGGGTAGCCAAACTGGGGAGAAAGTTCCTTCAGATATCTCTGAGAAATGCAGCACCTAGCACAGAGCTTTGGCTGCATCCATAGGAATCGCTGGGCTTAGCCACTGTAGGTCATGTCCTGTCCACCACTCTGCACCCCTCAACACCTGCCTACTCCCGGAAATCTACACCAGCGGACAGGTTTGTGCTGACCAGCATTCTTAAATGATGATGGTCAGAAGGTGATTTCATCTAAATATCTGGCTTCAAACTTTCTGTTGCTCCAAGCAGTGTAGGTATGCATAAGGAATTGGGGATAGGATGGAGAGAGCAATGTAGCCAATTAATAGCTTTTGGGAAATATCACACTTTCCAGGTGCTTTTTTTTTTTTTTTTTGCACCACCTAGAAGAGGTGCTATTTGAGAAGAAGACTTATGATGTGTAACTTTAGGGAGCTTGAACCACAATTCCAGTGCAGGCTTGCTGTTATATCAGTAACAACACCTCCACCTTACTTTTGAATCTGCTTTAAACTTTTATTTATACAACACATTTTCAAAAATATTTTAAACTTTTATCTGTTTTATTTTTAACCTCCCTTTTCGGTTAAAATCATTCCTTTTACTATTGATTTTATGTCCTTATTCCATTCTCATCTCTATTCCCCTCCAGTGAATTAGGATAAACTTGAATGTATGATCCCTTTAGACAGATGGGGAAACTTGGTAATGAGAATTGAACTGGGAAATGTGTGTTTATTGGCATAGCAGTTCATTCATTCCCAGGGAGAGGCACTTTAAATACCATGAAGATGATACAGAAACATGATATGCTAACCATGGGTGCTTTTTGTCTTTTTATTTTTTAAGATTTTATTTTATTTTTTTATTTTTTATTTTTTTGAGAGCGTGCACGAGCAAGGGGGGAGAGGGAGAAGCAGAGTCCCTACTGAGCAGGGAGCCAACCCGACATGGGGCTCCATCCCAGGACCCTGGGATCATGACCCGAGCAAAAGGCAAACTCTTAACCGACTAAGCCACCCAGGTGCCCCTGAGTGTTTCTTTTTGTAATCCACACCTGCCTGGACCTTTAAGGGAAATTAATGACCTAAAATCAGGTATTACTGCATTTTAAAATCAAGCCCTTAAGTAATTATTAGTTGTTGAGAAGTGAAAAATTCACAACTCTTCAAGATTATCATCAAATTTTTAAACAATTTTTCCCTATTTAGTCCCTGAGAATACATTAATAATCAGCTACCCGCAGCAGTGTTTTTTTTTTTTTTTTCTCATAGCTCTTTTCTGGTCAAATTCCTTTCTGCAACTTGTTTCGTGTAGTCTAGCATCATTAGAAACTACCTTGTTCACCTTCCCAGGACTAGCTCATGAAATGCTATATCTGTAGATGGTCAAGTTCCATTGATGGTCCCAGACACAAATTTTTCCCCTTTAAGGTCATTTGCCCCTCTCCTTTGTCCCTGGGTACTTTGGCCCTGATATGTTTGTATCTCAACTTTTCCTTTTCCATTAGGGATAAAGAGGTAGGTTTCCTTTTTCTTTGATAGAAATGTTACCAAGTGACTTGCTAAACTTGTGAGGCTCTAGACTAAATTCTAAAGAATTACGGAACACTTTGTACTTCTATTGCTCTCCCTTGTAGCTTAAATTATCTCTTAGAGTGAGTATAGTTTATCAAGTTTGATTTATTCATTGATAAAGGAAGGATTATCATATGCAAATCCCCAGACCTTCTTACTGTCTAATCCAAGCATCTCAGGCCCCGTATGATCTATGGTTAGTTACCCTATTGTCACGAATACCCTCAAACACAAGTGGGATTTTCATCACATATTCAGTGACATTATCTTTTTTTTTTTAAAGATTTTATTTGTTTATTCATGAGACACACACAGAGAGAGGCAGAGACATAGGCAGAGGGAGAAGCAGGCTCCCTTCAGGGAGCCTGATCCAGGACTCGATCCCAGGACCCAGGATCACGACCTGAGCCAAAGGCAGATGCTCAACCAGTGAACCACCCAGGTGCCCCTTAATGGCACTATCTGATCATAGACAACAAGCAAATAATATCTCCTTGGGACAGCTGTGCATGAGTTTCACTTTATCCTTCCAAAATAAGAGTAAGTAGAGGGACAGTGGATGTGGGAAATTGAGAGCAGACTTTATTTAGTCTGTGAGTTTTTTTTTTTTTTTTTTTTTTGGAAATCACTTGTGATTTGAATAAGGTACAAATAAGATTACTAAGAATTCTAAAGATACGTTCTGAATACTAGAACCTTGGAGCTTCCTGAAATAGTAATACATGAGCAGGATTAGAAAGTTTGGAAATGTCATTGAGCAGACTAGAGTATCACCTTCTGGTCGTGTAAGTTATGGAAGCACAAGGATGGAATGTGACAATTTCCTCAGAGGGAAAAATGGTCAAATATTTCAGATGGAGATAAAAGTGGGGGGAGATCAAAGGAAAAGATAATCAACAGTCTTTTCACTGAGTTAATTCCAGTTAATGATGTTCATTCACACTCTAGTCTCCAAGCCTAGACTTGGAGGACTACCCAGGACACATAGAGTCAGCAGAATGTACAGCTAGTTATCCTTCTGGTCTAGTTATTAGGCTAATATATGTGGCAAGTATTTGAGCGGCTACCATGCGTTAGGGAAGCTAGTTAATGCATCTTTGACTTTGATTTATCACAGACATACCCTGCCTACCCGTGGTATGCTGCTCTTCCAAAGGAGGAGGGAAATAACATTGCACATTCTTTCCTCTTACCCTCTCACACAGATACAAGACAAGCAGTGAAGATTCTTCAGAACAGAGGCTGATTGCCCAAGGTCTTCATTCTTTACTTCCCCAACCCTGAAATGTCATCTTGACAATTGTTGCTACTGAAAAAAAAATTTTATATTTGCTACCTTCTAACTTATAACCTAAAATTTCTGATTTTAAAAGGGTGGAAAATGAGTATTTCATTTTCATAGAGACTCCAAAATTAAAACAGTAAATTAAAGGAAAAAAACAACGACAGTTAATACCTGCTAGGCTCCATTCAATATGGATTTTGAGGCAGCGAGGAGGAAAATACTGGTATCCGACAAAGAAGTGAACAAACTCCATGCTTCAGAACTGGCCCTAAATAAAAGAAGCATGTTTTACAGTTATTTATCTCCAATGTCTAAGCATTTTAATAAAAACTTTTCCTATTTAAGGAAGGAGAAAACTCTTTTTCTTCCTTAATTCAGAGCCATGTCAATGGGTTCTACTGTGGTCCCAAACCCTGAAAGAGATAAATAATCTGGGAAAGCACACAATTTAATGTTAACATGGCTGTGGGGCCTGAATGACCGCATCAGGCCGCCTGCCACCTTAAGTATCTGGTATTTATTGACATAACTTGGGTTTGGTCCTCAAAGGCTCATGGGCAGGGAAAACCAGACATGGATGAGTGAGTTCATTCTGCTGGGGCTGTCCAGCTGCTGGGACACTCAGGTGTCCTTATTTGTCCTTTTCCTGATCATGTATCTGGTGACCGTGCTGGGGAACTTTCTCATCATCCTCCTCATCAGACTGGACAGTAGGCTGCACACACCCATGTACTTTTTCCTCAGTGTCTTGTCATTGGTGGACATCTGTTACACCAACAGCACTGTCCCACAGATGCTTGTTCACTTCCTGTCAGCCTGGAAGTCCATTCCATTCCACAGCTGTGTGCTCCAGCTATTTATCTCCCTGGCGATGGGCAGCTCAGAGTTCTTCCTGCTGGGAGCCATGGCCTATGACCGCTACGTGGCAGTGTGTCATCCGTTGCACTACACAGTCATCATGCATGGAGAGCTGTGCCTGGGCTTGGCTGCCGGCTGCTTGGGGGCTGGTTTCATTAATTCAATGATGCAGGCCATCATCATCTTTCGGCTACCTTTGTGCCATAATGTTATCAATCACTTTGCCTGTGAGATGTTGGCTGTACTGAGGCTGACCTGTGTGGACATCTCATTCAACAAGGTCATGGTGGCCATCTCAGGGTCTCTGGTGATCATGCTTCCCTGTTTCCTGGTCCTGTTCTCCTACGTTCGTATAGTTGCTGCCATTCTGCATATTCACTCTGCCCAAGGACGCTGCAGAGCATTTGAGACCTGTGCTTCCCACCTCACTGTGGTTTCCATGTGCTTTGGAACAGCCATCTTCACATACTTGCGACCCTCTGCTGGCTCCTCGGCAGAGCAAGAGAAGATGGTCGCCCTGTTCTATGCTGTGGTGACCCCAATGCTAAATCCCTTAATCTACAGCTTGAGGAACAAGGAGGTAATGAGTGCCCTAAGGAGACTGTTGGGAAAATGTAGTGAAAAAAGGTAAAGATTCAAAAAAATTTCTCCTTCCAGTGGCCTAAAGAACAATATTTCAAACAAAGAGGAAATGATTGACATGCCCTTTTCCCCAGACTTCCTGATAAGGTAGGTCACACTGAGCATGTTTTTGAAGACCAACTTTTCACTTTAGTCCACATTCTGACTATGTATTACTGCCCTATTATACATACAGTTGAAAACAAAAGCCTTCAGTTATTAGGTGGGGCCTGCTGGGTCGGCCATACTTCTAGAGCTCACCTTCCCTCTTCTGCTTTCTTATTCTTCCTGCATTTGCCCCTAGGAAATGCAGTGTGGACAGTGAAAAGTTTCAGAGTGAGGACAGCCATGCTTCACATGTCGACCCACACCTCAACGGCAAAGGGGCTTTGACAAATGCGTTTAATATCTTTGACCTCTAGTTTCCTCAACTATAAGAAGTAATAATTTTCAGCATGTATGAATATTTTGAAGATTATGGATAATCTATAAAAAATACTTGGTAGAGTGGTGGTATAGATATTCAACTATATTTAAAATAGTTTTTAGGACACCTTATGGGGCTCATGCAAACTTCTCTCCATATACAACTATTAAAAATGAACTTTTTCTTTTCTTTTCTTTTTTTAAAGAGTGAGAGAGTGAACATAAGAGGGGCAGAAGGAGAAGGGGAGGGAATCTTAAACAGGCTTCATGTTCAGTGTGGAGCCCAACTCAGGGCTTGATCTCAGGACCCTGAGATCATGATCTGAGTAGAAATCAATAGTCGGATGCCTGGGAAGTGAACCTTTTTTTCTATTGCATGGCTGTAGTAGATCCCTGTTCTGTGTCTGCTCCAGGTGATCATCTTATCTGGAACCATGACATCTATCTATAGATCTCTCTTTCTCTTTCTGCCAATCTCTGATCTCTCAATACCTCAATTTCCAGCTATTATATATATATTTTAGCTCCAAGACAGATAAGAACCTTTCTCATGAGTTCCAAACACATTTTCCAATTGCTTGCTTAACACCTTCACTTACATCATGTGAATTGCATTAACAATAGAATGATTGTGCTTGCTTCCTCTACCCTCCTTCCTGATTTCCTTTCCTCTTGTCCTAATACACCTTCACTATAATAGCAAAAGGAAACTTATACATTCAGAATAATTATTGATTCCTTTATTTTATACCCACTCCATCATTAGAATCCTTTAGCCTTATGGACAAGATATATGACCAGTCTGGTCTCTCTGCACCTCTGCTTTCTACATTTTATTCTTCACACGACAATTTAGTTAAAATGTTTTTTTTTCTTTTTTTTTTTTTTTGGCTTGATGTTGTAAAATAACACAGATGCAGAAAACCATACTAAACAAATGTATGGCAGGATGAATTATGATAAGATAATCCTTCTTACATAAACCATTCAAGTAAAAACAAAGAGCTGCCAGCTACTGCCAAAAACCCTCCATGTGTCCCATCCCAAGCACGACACCTTTTCCCCCAAAGTAACTACTATGCTGACCACTACAGCAATTGTTTTCCTGCATTTCTTGATGGCTTTGTAACCCAAACAAGCATCCCTAGTCACTGTAGTTTGGTTTTGCCCATTTTTCTTCAATTTGGTGTCTTTGAAGTCTATCGATCTATAGTTCTTGTACAATTCTTTCTTTTCCTGCAATTCATTTGAGTGGCCCAGGCCATTTGACCTGCAAAAGGTGCCTTTGTCTTAGAAAATATGTGGTCATATTTTTTTTAAAGATTTTTAATTTATTTATTCATGAGAGACACGGAGAGAGAGAGGCAGAGACACAGGCAGAGGGAGAAGTAGGCTCCCTGCAGGGGAACGATCGATGTGGAACTTGATCCCAGGACCCAGAATCACGCCCTGAGCCGAAGGCAGACGCTCAGCTACTGAGCCACACAGGCTTTCCTTTGCTTACATCTTTATCCTGATTAAGATAAAGTCTAGTTGTATACATGTGAGGCCTGACATAGTTCAACTGCTTCTGCAGAGATAATTGATTAACAATATTCCTCAGTAATTGGAACATTATCACCTGCAGAAGGATCCTATTATTGTTTAACATCAACTAATTATCTGCAGCCACCATGGAAAACAGTATGATAGTTCCTCAAAAAATTAAAAGTAGAACTACCATATAATCCAGTAATTTTACTATTGGGCCCTTACCCAAAGAATATGAAAACAGTAACTTGAAAAGATATATGCACCCCTAGGTTTATTGCAGCATTATTTACAATAGTCAAACCATGGAAGCAGCTGAAGTGTCCATTGATAGATGAATGGATAAAGAATTTCTGTGTGTGTGTTTTTATATATACATACGCAGATGTGTGTGTGTGTGTGTGTGTGTGTGTGTGTGTGTGTATACACATGGAATCTTGCCATTTGCCACAATGTATGGATCTGGAGGGCATAATGTGAAGTGAAATTAAGTTAGTCAGAGAAAGACAAATACCATATGATTTCACTCATACATGGAATTTAAGAAATAAAATGAACAAAGAAAAAAGAGACAAACCAAAAAACAGACTTTTAACTCTAGAGAAGAAATGGTTACCAGAGGGGAGACGGGTGGGAGGATGGGTGAAATAGGTGAAAGGGATTAAGAATACACTCATCATGATAAGCACCGAGTAATATATAGATTTGTCGAATCTATATTGTACACTTGGAACTAATATAACTGTGTATGTTAACTATATTGCAATTAAAATTTTTTTGAATTTTCTTTTTTTTCCTCATTATTTCTTCCTTGCTGTGAGGACAACTATTCTAATATATTTAATGTGTGTAATTATGTTTGAGAGTATATTTACATAGTTTTTAAAAATACATCATATATATATATTTAAAGATTTTATTTATTTATTCATGAGAGACACACACACAGAGAGAGAGAGAGAGAGAGAGAGAGAGAGAGAGAGAGAGAGAGAGAGAGGCAGAGACACAGGCAGAGGGAGAAGCAGACTCCATTCAGGGATCCCGATGCAGGACTCGATCCCAGGTCTCCAGGGTCACGGCTGGGGCCGAAGGCAGGCACTAAACTGCTGAGCCACTCAGGGATCCCCCAAAAAAATGCATTATATTTTTAAATATTCATACTGTGTCTTAGTTTTTTTCACTCAACACTGTATCTTTAAGATCCATACATATTGCTAGTCTATTATTTCTAACCATTCATAGTAATCCAAGGAAACCATATTCTAGCTGTGACTCTGTTGTGGCACCCAACTCTCCAACTTCACATATAGCCCTATGATGAACATCATGATAATGTGTACTTAAAGAGCTGTCTGAGAATTGCTTTAGGGAATATACGCAGGAACCAAGGACATAAGGCCCTTGAGAGCAAGGGCTTATGTTCTTGGGGTAGTGAAGGAATGGGAGATAGTAAAAATGAGTTAATTGCAAATATGTTACAAAAGATAAGTTCTTTGGAAAAAATAACGAGGTAAGAGGGAACAGGAGTAGGGGCAAAGAGAAAGTTTACATACAGAATGGGGCAGAGATGAGAGTTGATTAAAGAATTGGAGGAGATGAGGAAGTGGCCATGAGTAGAGTCTTCCAGGCACAGTGTAGTTAGAAAACAGGCCTATGTCCACCATAATGACTTTGGGCTTATTCTGTGTAATTTCAGTGTTGAAAAGAGGAATGACATGATTTGAGTTTTGTTTCAAAGGAATCACTCTGAGTGCTAGAATATAGGAGTAGAAGCAGAGAAATCTGCTGCAGGCTCTTGTATTAACAAGTGGGAGATGATGGTGCTCACACCAGGATACAGGAGTAAAGATGATAAGGGACTGTATTCTGTATATGTTTTGAATGTAGAAACAACAGGATATTCTTGCAGATTTGAATCAGATACAGAAAAAGAGAGTGGTAGATGGTCTAACCAGTGCAATGATGGGTTATATGAACCTCACGAGGTGGCGAAGGCCTGGATAGAACAGCCTGGGGTGAAGATAGATGGGAATCAGGAGTCCACATATGAAGACATAATCATGTTGGTATGTGTATCATAAATATTAGTCCTTCCTGTTATGGCATTGCAAATACATATCTCCAAGCTGTCATCTATCCGTTAACTTTATTCACAGGGTCGTTTGTTTTGATATAATCTGGTTCATCAGGTTTTTGTCCTATAATTTATGCTTTATGAACTTTTTCTTAAAAAATTCCTGCAGGAGAAAAAATGAGTGGTAAATATCAGAAAGGAGACAGAACATGAGAGACTCCTAACTCTGGGAAACGAACTAGGGGTGGTGGAAGGGGAGGTGGGCGGGGGGTGGGGGTGAATGGGTGACGGGCACGGGGGGGGGGCACTTGACGGGATGAGCACTGGGTGTTATTCTGTATGTTGGTAAATTGAACACCAATAAAAAATAAATTTATAAAAAAAAAAGTTCAGAAAATGTGGATGTCTGAGGGTCTGTGATGGAATTACCCTGCAAGGGAGAAGGAATATTCTTTTTATTTAAAAAAAAAAAATTCCTGCAGCAGGGTCATAAAATATCCTATTTTCCTATTTAATTAAATTTTCTACTTTTACCTTTCACAGTTTATTTCTTTAGTTTAATGACATTCTCTTCTGCATAGGTTGTCAGATATGGATCTGGTGGGTTTTATTCCACGTTGTGGTACACTTATTAACAATCTATTCTTTACTCATTTATCTGCAGTAACTTTAACATACATTGAACTTACCTGTACGAATCCGTTTCTGAACTCTCTTCTCTGGGTTCATTTGTTTGCTCTTACACCATATAATTCTATTATTCTGTTTTTAAGTCATTTTGGTTTGTAGTAAGTCTTCATTTGTCATCTGTAGTTTATCAAATAAGATGGGCAAAGTCATCGTTTTCAAAGTTATTAAATATATAATCAAATAGCTAGTCTATTTATATTTATGGACCCATTTGTATTTATTTGTAGTCAGTCTATAACTTGTTATAGAGAGGTGTAATCCATATACATTTTTGAGTAATTTTATTAAGTTCCCCAAAAAGTTCATCTAAAATTTTTGATTAGGTTTGCATCGAGCATGTAGAATCATTTTGGAGTACTGAATCTTTATAGTATTAAATTGCCTCATCCAAAGAATGGAATGTCTGTGGGGTTATTCAGATAATTTTAAGGTGCTATTTAAAGTTTTAATACTTTCTCCATATTCGTTTAACAAATATTTCTTAAACACATATTATACGGCAGACACTCTTCCAGGTATGGAGGATACAACAGTGAAAAGCAAGCAAAAATTTCTGCCTTCGTGGAGATTACATTCTACTTCAGGGAAATAATAAATATAAGAAACAATGAACACGTATAGTATATTATAGGTATTAATTGCTACAGAGGAAAATGGGAAAAGTAGACAAAGAATATTGGAAGGACTGAACGTTTGGGCAAA